TGGGACCTATGTTTCTTTGGGCCTGGCTTACTTCACTTAATATAATTTTTTCCAAGGCTTGATGTTTTCTAGATCTTCTTTTTTTTTTTTTTTTTTCTTTTCTTTTTTTGGTACTGGGGATCGAACTCAGGACGTTGCACTTGCTAGGCAAGCGCTTTGGCACTGAGCTACATCCCAGCCCGGCTTGATGTTTTCTAAAGCAAATCCTCACGTACACACATACATATCTTTAATCTGGTACTTTTAAAATCTGATATCCTTAATAACATCCACATTCTGATATCCTTAATAACATACTATTCGGTTTTTACAGCGAAGACTCTTTCAATTTACTTCCTAAAATATAGCCTTGACATCGGAATTCTTGTATGGAGACATATAGGTCCAGTTTATATGGTTAGATTGTAGACTTTTACTTGATCCCTTTCACTTGAGTTTGACATCACAATGCCCCCTCCACCCACCCCACCTTTTTTTTTTTTTTTTTTTTTCAAGTGAGCCCTTGGCCCTGGTACTGCATTGATTTCCTAGGCCCCAGCTCAAGTAGACATCCTCTCCTGCTAGGACTGGGGAGAGGGTCACGGACCTGGAGGGTGGGGAAGGAGCTGCCACTCCCTTCAGTCAATTCAGGCCTGAGCCTCTAGCCTCACCAGGAGGCCCCCTTCCTCCACCCCCCTCCCTTACAGGGGGCAACCCTTCTCCCCCTCCCCCATCATCCTCACCGTGAGCCTCCTGCCTCACTGCCTGATGAGAATAGGCTTTTCTCTAGCTGGAACTTTCTGTAGTTACTTGCTAGTCAACATTCTTAGCTCTAAATTCTCCATCTGTTTTTCATTTGCTAAAAATTTGTTGACATGTCTTGTCTACTGTTCTTTCTTTCTCTTGTAGTCTCTTTATCCTTGTGAATTCATACTTATTTATTCCTTTCATCTTATTTCAAAAATTTTAGAATAAAATGACATAATGAAAAGTCATCTTCATTTAAATGGTTACTTGTAAGTAAAGAACATCTGTAATTTAGGGGAAAAACAACAACAAATTTTGCTCAAGGCTAGTGCCCTACAACTTTGAGCTACACCTCCACTTCTGGTTTTCTGGTGGTTAATTAGAGATAAGAATCCCATGGACTTTCCTGCCTTGGCTGGTTTTGAACCACCATCCTCAGATCTCAGTTTCGTGAGTAACTGGGATTACAGGCATGAGCCATCAGTGCCCGGTTATAAGATTGTTTTTTTCTTTTTTCTTCTTTTTTTTTGTCAGTTGTGGGGCTTGAACTCTGGCCCGGGGCACTGTCTCTGAGCTCTTCAGCTCAAGGCTAGTGCTCTACCATTTAAGCCACAGTGCCACTTCTGACTTTTTCTGTTTATGTGTGCTGAAAATCGAACCCAGGGTCTCATGCATCCAGGCAAGCACTCTACCACTAAGCCACCTTCCCAGCCTATAAAATTGTTTTTAACATCCAGTTGTGAACATATTCCTTAATGGGTATATAATAGCTATCTACATGGATATGTAGATAGGGTCAAATATATGTAGATATGTACTTTATGTGTGTATAGATATATCTTGTATACAAGTATAAATTCACAATTATTTTAAAGTTGTGCAGAATCATAATGATCTTTTCAGTATTCAATTTGCATGTTGGTGATTTATTGAAAGCCTGAACTCTAAGTCTTCCCAATGCTTTGTTAAATTTTAAATTTGTAAAATGTTAGGTGAATTGCTTGGTGTGTCTGGGTCCAGGTGAAGTGCTTGAGGTTTTGAGTTAGTCCTGTGAGCAGCTTTCACTAACTTGGCATCAGAATTGGGGAGGTCCTTGCTCACCAAGTAATTCTGGAAACAAAGCAGTAATTTACCATGTTACTTTGTAGATAGTAATGATGTGGGAAAGATGTGAACTTTTATTTATTTGGTATAAAGTATTACTTGGATGATTCCTGCTTTTTTGTGACTAGAAGATAGCTAGTAACTATTTTAACTGAAAAGCTAGTACATGAGAATCTAAAGGTTGACTTTAAGGTAAGACAGGTGAACTAATTAGCTAAGTTTTTTTCTAAATATAAAATCTAACATTCTATTTCTGTCTTTTTAATAGACAAACTAACATTGTTAACTGTATAGAAGTGGTTTTTAGAAACAAAATATGAAAACTTTATGTGTGTTATGAAAAATTTTGCATAGGTACAAGCAAGATATAAAGAACACCAGTTCATATGACTGCATCAGCTGTGGTCTTTTCCTTAACTTCTTGTCTCCCTTCCTCAATTTTTTTTTTTGGTTGGTCATGGGGGCTTAACTCTGGGCCTGGGTGCTTTCCTTCAGCTCAAGACTAGCACTCTACCACTTGAGCCACAGCACCACTTCCGGCTTTTTTCTGCTTATGTGGTGCTGAGGAATCAAACCGAGGACCTCATACATGTGAGGCAAGCACTCTGCCACTAGCCCAACTTCCCAGCCTCCCCATGTTTTCTTTTTTGGTCGGTCTTGGTGCTTGAACTCTAGGCCTGGGTGCTGTCCCTCAGCTCTTCAGCTCAAGGCTAGTGCTCTACAACTTGAGCCACAGCACCACTTCTGGCTTTTTCTGTTTATGTGGTGCTGAGGAATTGAACCCAGGACCTCATGTATGTAAGGCAAGCATTCTACCACTGAGCCACCTTCCCAGCTGCCCCCCCCAAAAAAATTTATAAATGAAATGATTATATGCATTTAATTTGTACTTAGTTGACATCTTAAATTCATTTCTAAATTTGGAATTCTTGGTTTGAAAATTATTATAAAATAATAAAATATCTTTTGTCTTAACGAAATGTAAAAATCAAGGAATAGATGGTTGATTACTAAAAAGGATATCATGTAATTAATAAAAAATTGACTTAAGATACAGAAAATTGATACAGTGAAATTGAGACAATTGAAAAAGTTGGTACAGATTATTTAAAAATTGAAAAAAAATCATTGCTATCTGGAAACTTGTATTGGAAATATTTTTTTTATATCTCGTCAAAAAGCTAGGCTCATTGAAAATTTTGCTTTAAATATGTCTTTTAAATTTCCTACCAAGTAGCAGAGTGTGGTGGTGGGTGCCTGCAGGAAAGCTGAGGCAGAGAATCCATCCATGGAGTTCCAGAGTTGCCACCAGCCTGGGTAGCACAGCAAGCCCTTTACTTCAGCCTCCTCCTGCCCCACCCACATAGACATATTTTAATCAGAATCATCTCTATTGCTCTCTCAATTTTTTTAAACAAGGTCTCATAATTTAACTCTATGTTAACTCAGTATGTTAGAAGTAATTTTCTTTGATTTTTAAGCTTATAGAAATGGGACGACGGTCATCAGACACTGAAGAAGAAAGCAGAAGCAAGAGAAAAAAGAAACACCGAAGGCGGTCATCTTCAAGCAGTTCTTCCGATAGTAGAACGTATAGCCGAAAGAAAAGTGGGAGAAAGTCCAGGTCAAAGTCTAGGTCTTGGTCCAGAGATCTTCAGTCTCGTTCACATTCTTATGATAGAAGGTGATGTTCATAAATTTATCCAGTATAAGGATGACATCTTTTAGAGTTCATTTATTTTTGTCTTTTTAATTTTGTTAGATAAAATTTTTTTTTCAGCCAGGCGCTGGTGGCTCACGCCTGTAATCCTAGCTACTCTGGAGACTGAGATCTCAGGATCACAGTTCAAAGCCAGCCTGGGCAGGAAAGTCTGTGAGACTCTAATCTCCGATTAACCACCAGGAAACTGGAAATAGCTCTATGGTTCAAGTGATAGAGCACTCGCCTTGAGCTGAAGAGCTGAGGGACAGTACCTAGGCCCAGAGTTCAAGCCCCATGACTGACATTAAAAAAAAAACAAGTTTTCTTTTACTAGTTAATATGCTTCTGGCAGTTGAGTCCAGGTCTAGTTCTTGGGTCTTGCATCCTTTCTATCAAGTAGTTATAAACGGGTGTAGTTCTTTTGGCCTCTTACTTGATGACTTTGGGAAAGTTTGTGTAGCTCTTGTTAACTTGTAGCTGCCTCAGTCATGAATCATTCATCTGACAATGAAAGTGAGACATTATTTTAGTTATTCTGTTTGCTTCTAGAAAAGAATGGAGTATAGCAAACATGATGTGGTTCTTTAGATTCTGGATTCTCTCTCTCTTTTTTTTTGGTTGGTTGTGGAGCTTGAACTCTGGGCCTGAACACTGTCCCTCAGCTCTTCAGCTCAAGTCTAGTCCTCTACCACTTGAGCTACTCCGCCACTTCCAGTTTTCTGAGTGGTTTATTGGAGATAAGAGTTTCATTACCTTTCCTGCCTGGGCTGGCTTTGAACTGTGATCCTGAGATCTCAATCTCCTGAGTAGCTAGGATTACAGGCATGTGCCACTGGCACCCAGCTTCTAGATTCTCTTTCATGCTCATAACACAAGGTTTTTACAGCAACTTTCTATATTTTGTTTCAGACGCAGGCACCGGTCAAGCAGCAGCTCGTCTTATGGCTCTAGAAGAAAACGAAGTCGAAGTCGTTCACGAGGTCGGGGCAAATCCTACAGACTTCAAAGGTCTAGGTCAAAAAGCAGAACAAGAAGGTATGCTCTTCAAGTTTTGTGGCTAACAGCAGCGATAATCTCTTAACCAATGGATTCTGCAATTGCAACTGATCTCAACTGACTATGCTGCTTATTTCACCTGGGGCTTGCCTGCAGTCGTAGTCATCTGATGGCTTGGCAGGCCCTATCTGGCCCAGTGTCACCTCCCTATCTGGTACTTGGCTCTGGCTGTTGGCTGAAGCCACACACAGGTTTCACATTGTTTAGTTGGCTAGATGGGGCTTTTCTTCTAACTTTTTTTTTTCAGGGTGATCCTGCTTAGCCTCTTCATTTATGGATGAGCAAGAAACTGACTGAAAGTGAGGGGCCCTAAGTTCAAGCCCCGAATCACACCAAAAAAAAAAGCCAAATGCCAGTCATTTCTGTATGGGTATCCTGTTTATTCCAAAGAAGTTCTGCTTGGTACTTCTGTTATAAATGGAGTTTTCTATACATGTACCATCTAAGAAGTTTTTGTTTTTTTATATGAACCCTGCAGGATTCATGTTATCCTGCTGTAGTACTCAGTTCTTTTATTGTTCTAGTTACTTTTATCATGGATTCTCCAAGGTTTGTCCTTCTGTTGGCAAATAGAAATAGTTTTACTTCTTTTCTAATTCTCTTCTTCCATTTGCTTTCTGGTATGTAATTTCCTTGCCTTGAACTCCAGTATAATGTTGAATTGCAGTGGAAATGATATACATCCTTGTCTTGTCCCTGATTTTATTGAAAATGCCTCTAGTGTTTCCCACTGGCTCTAAGATTAAAGTGCATATATTTTGTTGTGTTAAGAGAGGTTCCATCAGTCCTATTACCCCCCAGAAATTGGTATTGGTATTGAATTTTGTTGAAGGCTTTGTCATCATCTGTGGACAGGATCATATGATTTTCTTCCTTGGATCTATTAAAGAGCTAATATTGCATTTCTGGAATATACCTCAGTTGTTCTTCTTTTCTTTTTTACTTTTAAATTTGTGTGTGTGTGTTTCTTTTCTCTCTCTCTTTTTCATTACAAAGGATTTAACTAAGGACTTCACACTTGCTAGAGCTATACATTCCAGTCCCACCTCAGTTGATCTTGATCCACTACTTTTTTTTTTTTTTTTTACTTTTACTCTTTAGTATCACTTGGGTTTGGTTTCTTTTTCTTTTTTTTTTTTAATTTACTTTTATTGTCAAGGTGATGTATAGAGGGGTTACAGTTACATATGTAAGGTAGTGAGTACATTTCTTGTTGAACTGTTACCTCTTCCCTTATTTTTCTCTCATTTCCTCCCCCCCCCACTCCCCTTTCAAGTTGTACAGTTCATTTCAACCTATTGTTTTGTGAGTATCGCTATTGTGTTTGGCCTTTGTCTCACCATTTTGTTGTTCCCCTTCCCTTCCCTAATTCAGATAAATGTATATACAATGCCCAGGGTACCAGAATCAAATACAGTGACAACAGGAGATAAACCATAGGGAAAAAAACACAAAAAGAAAGAAGAAATCACATAGTACATTTAAAACATCAACAACAAAAAAAACCCTCTTATTTCTGAATTTTGGAGTTCATTTTGCTTAGCATCCATCATCATATAGGACTACTTTTTAATATTTGTCCACTTGCATAGTTGCAAACAATTTCCTTCCTATTCTTCCCTTTACCTTTCCCTTTCTTTTGCCAGTACTGGGGCTTGAATTTAAGGCAAGTGCACTCTTGCTTAGCTTTTTAACTTAATACAGGCACTCTATCTCTTGAACCTCAGCTCTATTTCACTTCTGGTAGTTAAATGGAGATAAGAGTCTCATGGGCATTTCTTCTGCCTATAATACCTTTGAACTGTGGTCCTCAGATCTCAGCCTTCTGTGTAGATAGATTGCAAACGTGAGCTGATAGTACCTGGCTAACAATCTGTTCCTTCCTTCCTTCCTCCCTTCCCTTCCCTTCCTTCCTTCCTTCCCTTCCTTCCTTTCTCTTTCTTTTTTTTTGGGGGGGGGGTCCGGTCGTGAGCCTGAACTCTGGGCCTGGGTGCTGTCCCTTAGCTCTTCAGCTCAAGGCTAGCGCTCTACCACCTGAGCCACAGCACCACTTCCGGCTTTTTTCTTTTTGCTTATGTGGTGCTGAGGAATCGAACCCAGGGCCTCGAGCTTGCAAGGCAAGCACTCTACCACTGAGCCACCTTCCCAGCCCCAAGGGCTAGTGTTTTTTGATGAGTGATTTATACTAATTTGTAGTTTCTTCAACATAAATGGGTCAATTTGAATGCTCTGGGTTTTGTTGTTGCTGTTGTTGTTGTTTATTTGTTTGTAGGTTGTGGGGCTTGACTCTGGGTCTGGGCCACAGTGCCACTTCCAGTTTTCTAGTGGTCAATTGGAAATAAGAGTCTCACTGACTTTCCTGCCCTGGCTGTCTTTGAACCACAATCCTCAGATCTCAGCCTCCTGAGTAGCTAGGATTATAGGTACAAGCCACTGGTGCCTGGCTGAATGATCTGTTTTTTTACAGATTTGATTTTGGTAAATACTTTTTGTATGGTATATTATCCATTTTGTATAGATTTTTGAAATTTACCCAAAGTCTGTACAGTATCCTCTAGTGATTTATAATTTGCCCCTCTATTGTTTCAGTATTTATTTTTCTCTATGATTTCTTTTGTATATTTATAAATAAATAGCAAGCTAAACCAAAATAAAATATAAAACAACAATAAGAATAAAAAGTAGGGTTGGGAAGGTGGCTCAGTGGTAGAGTGCTTGCCCTGTATGCACGAGGCCCTGGGTTTGATTCCTCAGCATCACATAAACAGAAAAAGCCGCAAGTGGCTCTGTGGCTCAAGTGGTAGAGCGCTAGCCTTGAGCTGAAGAGCTGAGGGACATTGCCCAGACCCAGAGTTCAGGCCTGATGACTGACCAAAAAAAAAAAAAAAGAATAAAAAGTAGCTGAGTACCCATGGCTCACGCCTCTAATCCTAGCTACTCAGGAGGTTGAGGTCTGAAGATCACAGTTCACAGCCAGCCTGGGCAGGAAAACAGAAAAGTCGTGAGACTTTTTTTTTGAACTGTATTTCTTTTTCTTTTTTGGTATTGGGGATCAAACCCAGGACATTGCACTTGCTAGGCAAGCTCTTTGCCACTGAGCTACATCCTAGCTCTTCATGGGACTCTTTTTTTTTTGGTGGGTCGTGGGGTCTGAACTCTGGGCCTGGCCGCTGTCCCTCAGCTTTTCAACTGTAGACTAGGGCTCTACAACTTGAGCCTCAGCCCCACTTCCGGCTTTTTCTGCTTATATGGTTCTGAGGAATCGAACCAAGGGCCTCACGCATGCAAGGCAAGCACTCTACCAATGAGCCATATTCCAGATAAGAGTCATGAGACTCTTATCTCCAGTTAATCACTAGAAAATAGGAAGTGGTGCTGTGGTTTAAAGTGGTAGAGTGCTAGCCTTGAGTGAAAGAGCTCAGGGACAGTCCCAAACCCTGAGTTCAAGCCCCATGACAGAAAAAAAAGGATAAAAAGCAACAAATACGGTAGATAATAAAAAAATAGACAATCTAATTGAAGTCTTTTTTTAATTTAAAAGCTAACCTGCCTGCTAAATTAGAGAAAATAGAAAAGTTACTCCTAACTTTTCTCACTGAATTCCTGATTTCAAGCCCTTTAGAGGCAAACATGTTTTTTTTCCTTTCATAGATTAATTTTCCTATAAATGAAGTCATACAGACATTTTATTTTTTTCATGAGACAGGCAGGGTCTTGCTGTAGCCCAAGCTGGTCTAAATTATAGACATGTCCCATCACACTCAGCAAAATATCCTTTTTTTGTTTATAGGTATCTCTTATTCGCTAGCATAATTTTGAAATTCACTTAAGTGGTGTTCATTGGTAATTTCTTTCCTCTTATTGCTGAGTAGTATTCTATGGTACGGATAAGTCATTTATTGTTTGAATTCAGAGCCTCCTGTTTGATTCACTTGGCTGCTTGAGTCATACCTTCAGCCTTGCTTTACTCTTGAGCTGGGACCTGAGCACTGTCTATGAGCTTTTCTGCTCAAGGTTAGTCCTTTCCCACTTGAGCCACAGCTCTACTCTCGGCTTTTTTGATAGTTATTGGAGGTAAGAGTCTCATGGGCTTTTCCTGCCTGAGCTGGCTTTGAACTGTGATTCTCAGCTTCAGCCTCCTGAGTAGATAGGATTATCAGCATGAGCCACTGGTGTCAGGCCAGCCCTGCTTTTTTATTTTGGAGATGAAGTTTAGCAAACTTTGCTGCCTGGATTTACCTTGAACCTGAAAGCTATAGATCTTGGCCTGATAGGTAGTTCAGATTACTAGCATGAACCTCTGGTATCCTGCTGATATTAGAATTATTATTTATTTTGAAAATTGTATGTGAGTGTAATCATGCAATAATCTTTTGCATGTGGCTTCTTTTCTCAGCATATTTTCATTTGTATATCCGTATTTTATTCCTTTTTTTTTTTTTTTTTGGCCAGATGGTGAACTTAGTTTATCTGGGTGCTTTTGCTATTCCGGAATTGAAAAGTATGAATCATTATGAATCAGGCTGTTATAAACATTTGTTTATAGTGGTTTTTGTAGATATCTGTGTTTCTTTTTCTTAAGTAAATAGCTAACAGTGGAACTTCTGACTCATCAGATGGAATCTGTTTACTTATATAATAATAAAATAATTTTCCAAATGATTTTCTAAAATGACTATCATTATATATTATAAACTCAGCATTTATGAAAAGCCTGATTAAGTACACACTCATTAGCAATTGGAGTTATTTGTCTTTTAAATTTTCATGAAACTGATGGGTATATAGTGGCATCTGACAGTTTAATTACACTAACAGTTTTAGCTTTTATGTTGTGGCTATCATGTATCTGGAGTGTGTGTGTGTGTGTGTGTGTGTGTGTGTGTCTGTCTGTCTGTCTTTATGTCACTACCATACTGCTCTGATTACTATAGGATTGAAATATGTTTTAGAGTCAGGAAGTCTGAGGACTCTAGCTT